AAAGAAAAATGACAAAGAAATTGATATAATTGAGTTAAAAATGATGAAGAAATTTGAGTTACCTCTGAGTAAAGAACCATGGCACCCAAGTGAGGGACATTCTCCCAAACAAAGCTGGTGTCTACGATGATTCCTTCCATCTCTTTTGTCGCCATTGAAAAGGAATATGCGATCGAGCTGGCCGGGGCCTACCTCGTGCTTGATGCTTATTAGGTATCCAGTGACTCCACGTGAACGTTGATGTTGGAGTAGCATTGAATATAGTTGTGACGACCGGCCAACCATGACAAGTGAGACAAAGATTGGGAGAACAAACGGCAATGAGGGAGAGAGAAAGAGGAGGGTAAAAATGATATTTTGTTTTGAAAACCCATAAAAATTATATTTCATCCCACATAATCCCATGGGAGAGGTGGGATAGCTTTTATCTCGTAAGGTTTGGACAGAACAAAATATGGGATACATTTTATTCAATCCCATGGCACCACCAAACGCAAGTTACACTAAAATGGGACTAATTTTTATCCCATCCCATGACTTGTCTGGTCTCCCAAACGTGCTCTATGGTTCTAATATCATGGTTGAGAAAGGTCCACGTCTCAGCTTGGAATCAACAGTCATGTTTGATTCACACAATATCTCTTGTTGTAGCATGTTATTGTCTGAAGGTTCAGTAAGTTTTCCATAGGGACCGGTAAGAAATTCTTGACTTTGTGGAGGCTATGGCTCTTTCCAAATCTTCTAAAATTAATTACCTTACAAGAGACGTTTGTTTTTGACTTGGTATCATGAATAGTTATAATCAACCCATAAATACATAACGAAAATATCCTACTTCCATTCACAATTATATGGAATTCGACAATTTATTATTCCATCCTCTAGTCTAAGATTCTAAGCTAATTAGTATTAGGGGCCAAATATAATTCAAGTCCTAGCTCAGACCCGTAGGTTGAAATTTCCATGTTGAAGAACGCTTTGGAACGCCTGAATTTTTTCCACGAAGTCCTTTTCCTTTCCGAAAGCTAAAGCTAGGAAAAGTCACAAATTGTTCTATCCAAAGAACAAGGCATAGAACAAACTAGCCACTATATATACGTGCTGCTACCGCTGTGTTTTGGCACAAAATTTCAAAGTCTGGTTCTCCAGTCCCTGTTAAACCATGGCTTTCGCTTCTCCATATTCTCTATGTCTCATTGTACTTTTCTTGCTGCCAATTTGTGTTTTAGCCCAAACATCTCAGAATACAACATTGGGCTCCTCATTTACTGCAGCACTTGATAAAAATGATTCCTGGAAATCTCCA